CTGTTTTGGAGGGATGACTATTTTTAAATCATACCCTATTTATTGCATCAAAATTTGTTAATACTTTACTATATTTAAGGGTGGATAATTTTATCAGTTGTTTATTGCAACAATACATAACTACAATAACTTTGTCTAGTGCTCTTATGAAAGTTTATAGCATGATTTGTGAAAATGTAACTATACTGAATGACATAGCATAGACTTCTTCATGGCTAGTTTTTGCGTTTTTCCATTTCATTCTATAATCTACTTGTTCTACAGATCTGTGTATACTAGTGTTAAATGCTACTGTTTTTGAGCGCGTTGATAACGTTTATGACAGATAATATCATGATAATTTTTGCATTTCCCTTACCGAATGTCGTATCCTGTCAGCAAAAACCTGTCCATGGGCTTTTTTGATTGCTTTCAGTGCCGGCGATGCAGTGTTGCCAGATATTGATACTAAAAAAAAAACGAAATTATTTCCAATCTTTTGCTAGTAAGATAAGATAAAGATATCGCTGACTCTAAACTGCAACTTCATACTTTATTTACTTTCTAAAGTGTTCAATTAAGTGGAAAAGACAAGTCCAAAAACGCTTATAATAGCTGGATCTGGCTGAATCAGTGCCCACGCCCTCACTCACAACTCTCTCAAGCCTCGTTCACTCCGCCAGCTCTCGCAGCGATCATTTTCATACCAGGGACGCTAAACATTCTTGCAAACTGTCTAAACTGAATTATACACATCATGCAGGCATTCATATGAGGAGTGTAACAGCAAATTAGTCATTCAAAGAATTAATTTTATTTTTGAACTTGAAAAATTTACAGAGGTCCGGCCCTCGGTGGCCTCATAGCTGGTTACGGGCCTGCTCACGTCTACAAGTGTGATATTGCATTTATACAACAGTTTGATGGCACAAGAGTGTAAATAAATTAGAAACAACAAAGGAGTGTCTTTAAAAGCCCTCGTTTGCAGTGGCGGCTCGTGGGTTTTAAAATAGAGGAGGCACATTAATTGTATCTGGGATCCCTGCCGATTATTATTATTATTATAATTTGACAAAAAAAAGACAAATTACGTGTGGCCAAGTATGGTGACCCATACTTGGAGTTAGTGCTCTGCATTTAACCCATCCAAAGTGCACACACACAGCAGTGAACACACACACACACCGTGAACACACACCCGGAGCAGTGGGCAGCCATTTTTGCTGCGGCGCCCCAGGGGAGCAGTTGGGGGTTCGGTGCCTTGCTCAAGGGCACCTCAGTCATGGTATTGAAGGTGGGAGAGAGTGCTGTACATTCACTCCCCCCCACCTACAATTCTTGCTGGACCTGAGACTTGAACCCGTAACCTTTGGGTTACGTGTCCGACTCTCTAACCATTAGGTCACGACTTCCCCAAAGCGGGGTCAGGGGCATGTGCTTACGATCGACTCTGCGGGAGTGTGGGCGTGAACGCAGCTCCACTTCGCTCACTACTGCGCAAATAATGCTGACTGGTACAGGTGTGACTGGTGCAGGTCACAGTGTGTTAGTGGGAGGGGGAGTGGAAGGACCTGGGGATGTGGGAGCTGGGGGGGGAGTGTCTGAGGGTCAGAGTTCAGTGGCGCATGGGGCAAAAAAGGGGATGGGGAGGGAGGGGGGGGGCAAGGTTGGGAGGGGGGTCAGC